CTTCCTATACGTATCCATATTTGTCCCTACGGCTTGAAAAGCACATTTTGAAGAAATCTTTATTTTTCATTTCACCGTATCTTAGATACTCGTAGTCATACTTGAGTTTCATTTTCCGAACGGCTATGCTCTTTTTATTCGAATAATTCCATCGGGTGATGTCACAGATATGTCAGAATGCAGCGGGTGAGGAGGTATCGCCAGACAAACTGAAGGAACAAACATCGCAAGCAGCCAACGGGGAAATATATACACCACATACGTCTACTACTGAGCATCTGGAGGCAACCCAACCCACCGATGGTGAAGCCAAAGTTGGTTTACAGACGGCTGTGATAGACAAGAGCAGTGCAGTGACCGAGAAGGAAGCCACTCCCCAGCCTGCCAGTACAGACACCAACGAAGCGCACACAACCGATGTTATAGAGGTCCATTCGAATCTAGAGGTAGACGCCCAGTCTCAAGGGAATAGTGAGCCGGACCAAAACATACCTTCGAGCACACAGACACAGACATACGCAGACACCGCCACATACACAGACACCGCCACATACACAGACACCGCCATATACACATACATCATCGTATGTCCTCTCTGCGGTTCTCGTGCCGACGTTCCGGGTGGTGATGTGAGAAGTCTTCCCATCGATACACTCATCCAGGCATCTCTAGGGGAAGCTACGACTCCCAGACGGAGTAGCCGGAACAGTTCTCTGGAAGGGGGCCAATCAAATGGCAGCAATACACCCAGGCAGCGAGCGCTGTCCGATGCAACAGCCAATGAAAACCAAGACACGGATATAATACTTAGCATGAGCAAGGTGCAGCTCTCGCCGCCTCCCACACCACACCAGAAGCAGCTGCTCTGTGCGAGCCATTCGAAAGAGAAACGGGATTACTGTAGCACGTGTGCTGTCATGGTTTGTACCACGTGCGTAGCTGAGTTGCACAGCACCGGAGACCATGCTGTGAGCGCCGCCAGTGCAGGTATGAACACACAGCCACCTAGTAGTAGACGTGGGTTGTAGGGTTTGGCTCTGGCTATCTGGTGTATCACACTGCCCTTTAGTAGTCGACTTATGTTGTAGGGTTTGGCTCTGATGTATCACACGATTTCCTAGTAGTAGACGTGGGTTGTAGGGTTTGGCTCTAGTTATTTGATGTTTCACACGGCCACCTAGTAGTAGATGTGGGTTGTAGGGTTTGGCGTTTCACTCTCTGCAATGCATGTTTCGAAGACTCCACCGTGCACAGATCTGCACCGTAGAGTATCGACGATCTGAGGGGAGTTAGTTTGGTAGATCCCACTGCTATCTAGTAGGTGTTATTAAGTGTTGTGATGGCTTGAGCTGCTATCTAGTGGGTGTTACCAAGTGTTATTGATGGCTTGAAAAGTACTCATGCCGTGCTTGGCTGATTAGCAGAGGATAGGGTACGCCCCAACCGCAGAGGGGACTGGTAGGTTACACACAACACATTCGTTTGTTATACACCAATCCTTGAGCCTTGACGGTGCGTATGATGTGCTGTGCGACCGTATTGATAATTGTACGAGAGATCCATTGGAGACTCCGCTGGCAGATGCAGCCATTTCTCAGAAACATGCACAAGCGCTATCACACGCATATATATATATATATATCTGTAACTCCCGAACTTCCAGGATTCAAACACCCTCAACCCCTATAACCCTAAAACCCAACATTCTTAGCCACTAACTCCCCAAACCCTAACAGTTTTAAACCCATAAAACCCTAAAACCCCGACATTCGTAAACCCCTGTAGTGGACAAGATGCACCGGCTGGCCCTGGAGAAGATGATTGAGGTCACGACCATCAATGCCACGCCAAGTGCCGATGCAATGATGGGTGCGCAACAGATCATGGTCCATGTGGAGGTGAGTGTATATAAGCAGTTATGGTCCATGAGGAGGTGAGTGTATATAAGCAGTTATGGTCTGTGTGGAGGTGAGTGTATATATCCGTACATAGCAGTTATGGTCTATGTGGAGGGGAGTGTTCACATCCGTGCATAGCAGTTATGGTCCATGTGGAGGTGAGTGTATATAGGCAGTTATGGTCTATGTGGAGGTGAGTGTATATATCCGTACATAGCAGTTATGGCCTATGTGAAGGTGAGTGTTTACAACCGTACATAGCAGTTATGGTCTATGTGGAGGTGAGTGTATATGTCCGTACATAGCAGTTATGGTCTATGTGTAGGTGAGTGTTTACAACCGTACATGGCAGTTATGGTCTATGTGGAGGTGAGTAGGTGAGTGTATATATCAGTACATACTGCATGCAAGTGCGTGAGTTGTTGTTCAGTAAGCTTGCAGGTGCAGTATAAATAGGCGAACTCAAGTGTTCGTATGCACGCCTAGGGTTTTTGGTGTGTTCATATGATAATGTCGAGCGTTTAACTACTGCTCATGTATCTCAACGTTACATCCATACCCATTTCCGTGTCTTCACACAACGGCCGACACATTACCTGAAGATGCAAGCAGCCGACTCCTTTGTTTATGTTTTCTTTCAAAAACCTTAGCCACACACTAACGTATCACAATCTGACCACATCTATTATCACAGCGATCGACCGAGCAACTGAAGCGACTGGCAGACGACATCTTCGATCGACTCATAGTGGCCCTACGCGAGAGGAAGCGCGAGTTCTCTGACAACTTGGACTTAGACAGAGACGGTCGACTGGAAATACTCAAGTAGGGGGCCGTAGCTGTCCTGTCGTTTATTCGCTGTTTTCTTTTTGTCGCAAATTATTTTGTAAAACTTCTGAAACGTAAAGTGTGGTTGTGGAGGCACGGGAAGTACGTTTAGACTGCAGAATGGGCATGACGCGCAACTTACTATGTGGTTTACTGCACCGGATAAGTTCTCTGCTAGTACTGCAGTAACAGGGGACGATTGAAATCCTTGAATCTATGCTTCACAATTAGCGATGTCGTGATGTGAAAGAGTTGTTTAATGATGAGCACGTGAATACATCTCATGACATATATTTGAAAGCAGGTGAAACCAGTCACTGTGTATAATGTATACTCCAAGGCGCGTTCGGGACGTTGTATGTGTTATTTCTTGTCCAATATCACGACGGGATGGTAAGGCTGGTATCAAGTACCATTCACACTCATGTGATATATTCCAACCCTTCTCAATATATATATATTTCATATATATATATATATATACATATACATATATCTATAT